GTCTTCTGACCAACCTGAAAGGAAACCAGATAAATTTTGCTCTCTAAATGCTAAAGCAAGAGGCAGGAAGCACCTAGCTTTACAGATATTTAAAGTGTCCACTGCAGTCTTTTAAAATAACCAAATCAGGGTGGGAATTTTCTTCCTTCACTGGGATCTTATAGGGACTAAAGGGGTGCCTTGAGGTTCTGTAAGTTAACTGCCAAAATCCAGATTTAAAAAACTAAAAATAAGGAGAATAAAACGACTAAACTAATTTAAAAAGTACTAGAGTAGGGTGTCACATGAGGCAACCTGGCCCGACCCCTCTTCCGTCTCCCCAGACAATGTTCCCTGTTTTTCCTCCACAACTAACAAAGAAGCAGGTGTTTCTGAGATGAAAGCTGATTTAAATAACAGTATAAGAGGGAACAGCTAGCATCTAGATCCAAATTCTACTTGCACGCACATGCATTTACATATCTTTCCCTCCCATGACCTTGCTGTGCATTCAAATACTGCTTCTGCAGTTTCTTCCAGAACCCATGGAAAGTTCTGAGAAGATGAGTGGAACCAAATTCAGGCATATAGAGGGTTGTTTGTACAGAATCAGTCTCTCACCCTGGTTAATATGCTCTGAATATGACTTCACAGTACACCTGTCACACGGTGGTCACTGCTTGTTCCAAAGGAAGGGAAGAAGTGGTTGGGATTTAGCCAAGGAAAACATGGTGGATAGACATCCATGAGGATGTCCATGAAGTCCCTTAAGAGTTGCTTCTCCATGTCAGCTCTTTCCCGGTCAACCAGCATCTTATGCTTTAGATGTCATGACACCATATCAGAATGTAGGAATATTCCTCAGGAATATTCTCTCATTTGGCACAAGGCCTGGTTAGTGAACTCATTAGCAAGCTGGACCTGATGACTGCCTCATTCCCCCAACCTTGGGCATTATTTTGAATGGTTAAAGGATGTCCAGACACCACCGGGAAAATTGCTTTACCCAAGTGGTAAAATATTTTGGACTTCAGCTCCCAGAATTCCTGGCTAAGGATGATGGGAGCTGAAAGACCAACATCTCTGGAGAATACCAGGTTGAGGAAAGTTCTACTAGACCACAAAATAAGAACCACATTCCTCTCACCCATCCTGGCTTGTGGACTGTTCCCTCTCAAATACAAGCAGGTCTGCCTTTTCATTCTTAACTCACCTGTTAACATTCCCAGTTGATTTATGATGAAGTCTGAACCACAAATTTTAACTGCAAGAAGCAGGCAAGCAGAGAACAACATCTGAGAAGAAAAGTAGATGATATATACAAGGAGGGGCTTTCCATTCTCCATCTTCCTTCTTTAGAAAAACTGCAAACAGAAGAATAGTACAATCTGGATCCGTATTTTTAGCAAGATTTGGGGAAAGCCTAACGCTTCTGTTTGAATATGTTTCACGCAGATGTACTCCAGCAATTTGTTTTGAAAGCTACCATGTAGCTACTGCCATTTATGGTAGCAAAATCCAAACGGGTCTGATAGCACCTTTTTCAACTGACACATTTCAATATAATTTTAATGTATTTTATTATTATTTTTTAATTAAAAGGTATTAGTCAGAAAAGGTGCTATCATACTTCTGGTTAGTCCAGAAAAGGTGCTGGCTTATCATAGACCAGGGTTTCTCTGATTGAATTATTGGTCTATCTATCATAGACCATGCTGGCTAGGGAATTCTGGGAGTTGAAGTCCACACATCTTAAAATGGCCAAGGTTGAGAAACACTGCCATAGACTAAGACAGCTCAGGCCCTACAATGTTGTTTATGGTACGTCACTGCCATCTACTGGTAAATTGTGATATTGTAAAAAAGTGACTACCATACGTAGTTTACTATCCATGATTTCAGTAAACAAAGGACTCCCCCCCCCCCCC